GTTTGTAACATTCTGATGTCTGAGCACTAAAGATTAGAATATTATGCTACGTTTTATTACCTTCGTCCAAGAAGGTTATGTTTTCTGAGTGTGTTCGTGTATGTGGGTGTGGTGTGTGTGTGTGTGTGTCAACACGATAACTTGAGAAGGCCTTAATGGATTGTCTTGATACTTGGTAGGTGGGTAGGTCTTGATAAGACCTCAAAATGATTAGATTTTGGACCCCCTAGTGGCTTGTTATGGTACTGCAGCTGAACTTCCGGTTTTGATATCTCATGATCTAGACATGCTATGGTGATGAAATTTAGATGGTAGGTAGCTCTTGTGCTGGGGAAGAAGTGACGTGAGTTTAGGCCTCCTAGCGGCTTGCTCTGGAACTGCAGCGATATATTCTTGAAAATATTCAAAAGGGGATAACTCAAGAACCGGTTGACGGATCGTCGTGATTTTTGGTATGTAGGTAGCTTACGTGATCCTTCATATAATTATGTGACAATTATGCAAATATGGATATAATTTGCATACTTTATGGTGAAATTCTATAAATCAGCTGCATTCCATGATAGGACAATTAAAGCTTGTGACATTGGTAATTGACAACGAGAGAAACACAGGAAGATATTGATTATGTTAATAATGACCTAATTTGCATAATTAATGAGAAAATTTTATAATTATGTAATGATAACTGCCTGGAATTTCATACTTGTGGTATTTGAAAGTTAAATTGAGGTGAACATCATTAAACATAATTTATTCAAATCAGGACCTCATTTGCATAATTTATTAGGAAATACTAGAATGCAAAGACTGTTTTTGGTTAAGATTATGATAAAATGATATAATTCATGAAAATTAGGTTCCTATTTCTTAAATCAGGGGGGAATAATCTAATCTATAATTTGTCAGTCATAAAGATTAACATCATTTGGCGAAGGTATGAGATCGGGGAACTCTAGTTATAAATGTTTCTTCCTCTATCGCCATGGCTCAGTGGTTATGAAAAGGTTCATCGTCACCTATCGCCCAGTGCCTTCGGCAGCCGCCGGTTCGCACCCGATTTCGGGTGATTTTGGCACCCGCCAGAACTTGTCTTCACTCCAAAAAAAAACTCCTGAATCTACCGCCTATGCGCTTATCAACACAAAGTCAATAGTTTTGACGTAGAACTATTAGTTGCTGTGTTTTAGACGGTCGGGAATCCTCATGATTTAACGTAATTCGTAATCAGCTCTGAGAATTTAACGTAATTCGTAATCGGCGGCGAAAATTTGGCGTAATTCGTAATCAATACCCCCCCTTGCAGGCCCTCATATATTTGTTTCACTTGTTCATTGATTAATTGTATTTTTTATCGTACTTTGCTTGCTTGTATTACGTACTGTCTGGTGGCGACATGAATATAAGTGTAACTTGAGTGTGTCGCCACCAAGTTTCAAGCCACCAGGGAATACCTCAGATCAGTTGATCTGATTTTCAGGTATCCCTGGGCACACATTAAAAATTACATTACATAAGTTCAACGCAACAATATACAACAAATGTTACAAACATTTACATTTACCACGTCTTGTCATTTAGCCTGGGTACCATCCTACTTGTATGCCGGGGCTCCCACACTCGCTTCCCTAAGAAGTGTGGGAGCCCCGGTATACAAGTAGGATGGTACCCAGGCTACTTGTCATTGTATGTTTCATTAAAAAAAAGATGAATCTTTCGGTGGTCGAAAAAATGTAAAGGCAGTTACAAATTGCCACTAGCCAATGGATACTGCCCTGCCAATTTGTCCTTCAATCAATCAAAAGATCTGCTTGGAGATTTAGCCTCTACCAGGCTTGAGGGCGCGGCTGGAAATAGTAGAAATTAGAGAGATAACACGCCGATGGAGTTTAGCCATCCAGTTTACAGTTTGCTGGCAAATTTCTACAATTTCCACCCGCTCCCTCAAGCCTGGTAGAGGCTATTGGAGATTATGAATATTCCTCAGATAGCCGATTTGTTTCTCGTGATTTGTGTTGAGCGACCTCTAGCGGAACAGAATAGCAATGCACCATGGGTGGAAACGCCTATCCACTGATAACAAGACTGGCAATGAAAACATACATTGCCATGGCGACGGTGGTTGCTGTTAGGGTTATTGTCTGCATGGCACTGCCATGATTTCATGATTTTGAGGAAGACTTGGTACCTGTTAAGTCTAGACAGATACAGTGCACCCCTCCCCTGAGTGTATAGTGAACGAGTCCCGGGGTCACAGAAAGTAGGGCCATCCTAATACTACCCTAACCCTAACCCTATTAAATACTACCCCTAACCCTAAACCTAACCCTAACTATAATGCCCAAACCCTAACCCTCGCCTTAAACACCTGACCTCTCACGTATGTGGCAGCTCAAGGATTTGGCTCGACACCAACGCGGGTGTAACGTGACCTTTCGGTCGTATTGTATTGAGCTATACAAAGGTGGACTGTTGACGTCATGGCATGACTCAACGGAAAGTCCCGGAAGTAAGACCACCTGAGTCAGAGGGGAAAACCGACGGTCGCTATTTTGGGGAAAACAGGTACTGTACAAGTTCTAACGCAGGCAGACTGGGGAGTCTCAGACATCCAGGTGAGATTTTAGCCTCTACCAGGCTTCAGGAGGAGGCTGGAAAGAGTAGAAATTGTCCAAATAGAGAGATAACATGCCGGGGGAGTTGGTCCGCTAGAGAGTATAGTTTGCCCCACCCGTACCGTAGCCTCTTTGGCCGGCTAACTCCCCTGATACACTATTCCCTTTATTTTGGCCAATGTCTACTATTTTTTCCCGCGATCCGCGGTTCCTGGTAGAGGCTAGTGAGATTTAGACAAGTTGATATTTCCAGAGTTACACTTCTGGCGTAAGCTGATGAGACAAGTGGAACATGTCACTTCGGCGAGCTGAGAAAATACTTTCCTAATCGTACTGAAATACTGAATGTATATGAAACATGTCGAGAACCAGTTTGTCCCATGTTGTCATAGCTGATAAATGCATATTCACAGGACTTAGAGAGAATAATTCCTCAGTGTATACTACGTTACGGTTCCATCTTGTGAAATAGGAATATTTTTTTCGATTTGATCTTTATTAATCAGGACCCAAGTCGCAGTTCCGGGACGTACATTAGGTGTTACAGATTATCTGTAAACATACAGGAGTGTAACGATCAACATATGGTGCAGCCATGCAATGTCGTGTTACAGTGGACAGTGTTATGCGCCTTAATCTAGATTGGCGATGATGAGATAACAATCGTGGAAGTATAATGTTTTTTTATATGTTATGATTTTATATACTGTTATGCTGTCCATATTATCCAGTGTAATGTCGACGTCAGCAGGGCAAGCCCCCCTTGTAATAGCCACAGGCTAATTAGGAAGCCCAGACCGTGTGTGTTGAGCAGCCAAATAATAAAATTTTATATCTAATCACACAACAGGCATTGCAAAGTAACTTACCAAGAACTAAGCTAACTCGGACTGTGAATTACAGGATGGCGAACTTACTCATAAGGCCAACTCAGGACCAGGATCTCCATCCAGACGTACCAAGGTGGGAACGCTTACTATATCTATCTATCTATATCTATATCTATATCTGTCTATCTATCTATCTATCTATCTATCTATCTATCTATCTATCTATCTAT